AATTTTTCCCCAGAAACCCTATTATTTTTAGTATGCAATTTTGTAGAATACAGATTTTTCAACAACATGTATATTGACTTAAAGTGAAAATGCCTGTTTTTCTCTATGTACCACCAATAACTAGCATAGACCAGTTTCTAAATTCAGGATATTAAAAAAACATAGTATAACAAGCACCTACGGCAATTTAATAAAATGGCGAACTTTGTCTTTTTTTCTTTTCCTAAAAGCAGATGACATTATCATTTAGTTCCATGAATAATTTCTTGTAGGTTTTCTCTTTAAGGAAATACATAACTTTTCATTTCCTGACTTTCCCACAGAATTATATACACTGAAGAATCCCAGTAAGATAAATGAAGTTGATGCACACACCCTTTCAGATGCTTGGGTATGGTTGTGGTGGTGTTTGGCTAGTCAAATTAATAGGGCCTGAAATATAGTGCCTTGCCCTTTTTCCTAAAATAAGAGGACCAGCTGAGTGGAAAGGTTGCCAGGTTAGGAGAAAGTGCCACTCTCCCTGTAACCAGCTGTGTGAAAGCCATTGAATCTCTGCATATATGTTCTGGCCTTCACTTTTGGAAAAAAACAAGACCAGCCCTGTCTCGTGAGGATAAAGTTAAATACAAAATAGCTGGAAAGTGTCCGTGGCTTCATTATTTGCTTTTGCTATGGTTGCATCTTTAACGACAGAGCAACATTTAGCAGGTCATCTATGAAAGTTCTGATCACCATATGAGCAGTAGGCAGGTACACCCTGTGGCTCACTTCACCAAATCATCACCTCCTCTGCCCCTTTGGAGTTCGGCACCCACTCAGTCCCAAACCGCCCGGGGCCTTAAAGCCAATAAACACGATTTCTGAGTGAGCCTAGGCTCAGCTTTCAGATTGCTTTCAAGTGAAGACAATGTCAGTCACAGGGAAAACAGCTGAGGTCCAGCCTGATTTTTTTCAGCACATTTCAGAAAAGAGAAACGTAGTTTAAGACAATGTCTGGAAATAAGAATTCTAGAGACATACACTACAAATTCAAAAATTTTAATGTGACACATAATGTACATAGGTTCAGTTATCCTTGATTTTAAGATATCTTTTCTTTTACTCCAAAATCAGGGTTACTCACAACATATATGAAAAGATATTTCTGTAGCCTCCATATGATATAATGTCAAAGAAGGCATTCCCTAAGAATTGAATGAAAGAAGAGGCTCTTAAAACATTTGGTTTCTTGGTACACCTCAAACAGTATTTGAAAAATACTGTTAGGAAATGTGTATTGCGCTCTGCACTGCCACAAAGTCCCAGTGAGAGCAATATTGTGTGGTTATGCAGAAATGGATTCCTTTTCCTCTGTTCTCCTACGTGGAATGTGATTGTAGTATGAATGTATAAGATTCCTTACAGCCGAATTGGATTTGTATAATGTATTAATTTTTAAGAGCTGCTACAAAATGCCTATGTGTAGTCACGAAACATCCGGGAAATCTTTAGGAATCCAAAATTCCCAAAATTCTATTCCTCATGGTAAATTGACGCTAAATGGAGAAATGTCAATGTGTGCAAAAAGAATTTTGTGAACCTTTAGGCTAAAGAAACTATCCAGATTACAAACAAACCAAACAACAACAAATAAAAATCAGTTTGTGTATTGAGCTTGCAGAAAGACACTGAAATGAGTATTTAAAAGATGATGAAGCACTATTTCCCGGCTGCCTATTATGCCTCAAGCTATACACATGGGAAACAGCAAAATCTGCCCCATCGTCAGAAATCTTCCACTTCTTTATTCATTTTTATATGTAAAAGTGCTGAGTATTGGTCTTAGGAACAATGAGTGCTTATTAATTATTGCTGAATAGCAGAATGCTTACAGAGAGAGGAAATCCACTAAATCGCAGAACCTGTCGTGGCATACAATGGATGCCTCGTTGTGCAGAGAGAGGCAAGACTCCATCCAGTCGTAAGATTTCAGAACACTCTGTACTTGGAAGCTCCAGACCACACTACTTTCATGGCCACATTAATTGCCACTGGCTGGGAAATGGTCCAAATTTAGAACAGTACCTCTCAAACTCAAATATGCATTACCTGACAAACTGGCAGATTCTGATTCAGTAAGTCTGGGGAGAGGCCTGAGTTTCTGCATTTCTAACAAACTCCCAGATGATGCTATTGCTGCTGGTCTGGGACTGTCTGAGGAGTGGGGATTTAGACTTACCCATTTTTCCTGTCTCATGAGAATGGGAAAAAGCATGGAATAAAAATAGTTTTGCAAAGGTTATAGTTGCAAAGGACCACTTTTCCATGTGTCCCAATGTGAATATGGGTGAAGGTATAAGGTAGTTCTTACCTCACCTTCCCCCCTTTAAGCAGATTGTTGTCTAAGTAAAGCTATAGAATTACTATCTTCTGAAACCTCCAATGGGTCAGGACTTTATAAATGACTATTATTCATGATTTATGTACCTTGTTTAACAATAGCATGAATGTAAAATCTGGAACTCTAACAAAAATTGCAGAATGAGCCCCTTTACTTTTTGTAAAAACATGATGGGCAGATTTCTGCAATACTCAGTGTAAAGAGTAGACTTGCTCAGACAGGATTTATCCTCGTGCTTCCATAAGTGTGCACAGAAGATTTCTCATTTATTGATTTATTTATTCATTTATTAAGTTAATTATCATAAAATTAAAACCATCCCTAATACACTACTCACAGACATTCACTACTGGCTTTAGCTATTCACAGAAAGTTGTTGTGTAGATACACGTTATAAATTACTTTTGCTTCTCAACATCTTTCTTTATATCAAGAAAGTATTAAACCTTTATACTGCTACACAAAACCAGCTAAAGTAGGTGTCAAAGAAAATGTCTTAAATTTCCAAAAATAGTACTTTACTCATTGCAGAATGTTAGGCAATTTTCTGCACTAGCCCTTTAACGTTGCATTCTTTGCCATGTATGATGGGAATATTATTAGTCGCATCCTCATCCCTTCTCCCAGTGCACATGGAACAATGCCCCAACACTGTGCCTCAAATGGCAGCATCTTCTGGTTTTTGTTGTTTAGTAGAAGCCACCTATATTCTTGATCTAAATGGTGTCTCTTTCAATTCATCTGCTCAGGAATAAACCATATTGTCGAGTGGTATAGGAACTACTTACTTGCATATTTTGCATCATATATAACGTCATATATTTTTTATCCATTCTATTTCTGGGTCATTCTTGAATAAGTCAGAAAGAGGGTGAATGAGTAACAAATAAAAATTGGATAAATGCAATTTCAATTACCCATAAAATTTGAACATCTGTTCACTGAATGCTACTTAGTATATGACTGTGGTCTGTGTCTCAGCAAAACTTCATGGCTACTGAAAAACAGCTCCTCTAGTGATAAAAAATGCCACCATTTCAAACAAAACAAGAATTTCATATGAGGAAGAAACAGAATAGACTCGGGTTGTTCAACAACATGGAGGAGGCAAAGATGATGTTCTTCCTCTCCTTGGCATAACCATTTAATTTTTTCTCCACCTTACCCCATTCTGCCCTTATTCTTGAAAGACTGCCTTACGGAACACGTGGAAAATATTCATTAATATTTTCTGACTGAAAGTATGCTCACCACATGGAATGCCTTAAAGACCTTTCACATCCACTGACCATTTCTATTTAAGTAAGAAGTTGAATAGATTTGAGGAAGCTTTCTGAATTACCATGTTAAGTTGCAGAACAGTACTTTCAACGGAGACTGGGGCTTTTATTGGAAAGATGAGCTAAAGAAGACACTATACCATTTTAAATATGGTTTGAGTCATTATAGAAACAGCCTGAGGTCGGACCCCAAAGTATCATCACTGTCCATATTGCCACGGGGCCCAACAAGATAACCTATCTCAAGAAAAGTGAGTCTACAAGGCCTAATTATTTGCTTCTCTCAGAAAGCTCTGCGGTGGTTTTGACCCATAATTATCACTCTCTTTGTTATGGTACTTAAGGAGTCCAACCGCGCTGTCCTAAGGGTGGCGATTTGACTGGTGAGGGAGCACTTGCTTACGTCCCTCAGCTGAGAGGCGCCTTCTCACTGCCCTGGGCACAGGCCTCCGTGACCGAGAGAAGTCCCGCCGCACATTGGCTCTCACACGTTAGGCAGTTGTGACTGTGATTCCAGCCTGACCCAGCTTGAATGATAGCCTCTTATTTCAAAAACAGTAAGAGCCATAAACACTTCTGAAGGCATCTTTGTGCCTGAATAAATGATGGCAGTTGGAGAGCAATTAAAACAAAGCCTGTGACTTTTTACTTAGAAGACAAGATGTTTCAGTTTGCTATTTCATAGGATTTTTTTCTTCACAGGATAAAATTTAAAATATTAAATGTATAGAGACACATATATCCATATATATTGATCATTCTTTGTTTAAGTGCTGAAATTTGAGTCAACAGTATACATGCACACACATATATTATGATGTGCTTTCAAGGAAAATCAGTCTGTAAAGAATCCCAAAAGAAATGTAAAATTAAACAGAAATGGACTCCCAAGCTTTTTAGGCAACAAGTGCTCATTTTGATGAATGCCAAATATGCCAATAACAAGTGAAACCTATCTTACTACTCCTAAAAATGTTTGTAGATCTGAGAAGAAATGGTTAAAAATATCTATACATCTTTATTTTAAAAGTTGCAATTGATAGGAATTCTTAGCTACCAAATGAAAAATATCAATATAGCAATTACATTTTAATCAATGAATTTAGATCATGATGAAGTTTCTTACAGTATTTAATATGTTCTCTTTGGTTCAGGCTGGTTAGTTTGTTTCCTCACTGGTGAGTATTTTCTATTACAAAGTTGCCAAGCTTTCTGAGTCACTTTAAAAAAAGTCTCCTTAGAAAGCAGGAGGCATGCTTTGTAAGCTGCAGAATCACTAGATTGCATTCCAATACTGCTTTTCAACCCAAAATGCTTTCCACTGTTGTCTCTTGATGCAGACCTCTAATGCCCGAGGAATGCAGAGCCACGGTGCAGCCTGCGCAGACACTGACTTCGGAGTGCTCCCGGCTCTGCCGGAACGGCTACTGTACCCCCACGGGGAAATGCTGCTGCAGCCCGGGATGGGAAGGGGACTTCTGCAGAACCGGTCAGTATTTCTGTGGTCCCAGGAAAGCCTGGGCATAAAACACTCCTTAGGAACGCAAGAGCTTAACATCAGTCGTTTCTTCCAGAATTATCTAGTGTTTAAAATTTAGCCATTTACAATAATATGAATGCTCAGTCTGTTTCTGAACATGTAAGTGAAAACTCCCATTTTCTTAATGTAAACAATTCACTTATGCAAGTTAATCACAAACATAAGACTTTGAAATAACTGAGTCCATTCAGAAAGGAAAAAATGAAAACAGCACAATAAATCATCTCTTTAGGCTCTCAGTCCCAGTTTTGAGATGTCACACAAGCCAATGACTTAGTGTTTGCCCCTCTCCGAGGGCTGGCATCTTCCAGACGCCCAGTAAATGCCCTCCCTAACTTTACTGCTTGCTTCCTTGCTATAGCACACTAAAAACAGAGTTTTTCAGTGGGTGTTACTAAATAAAAGGGGAAAACGCAATTATCTAGAGGCATATTATGAGATTTTTTAATGCTTTTTGCCAGTCCCTTGTGAACTATCAACTAAGTGTGCAGCTGCTCAGAGAGAGCAAAGGAGATTTATTCCAGGGATACTCTATCCTTATACACACATACTCGATTACATGCAGTGATGTTTAAATTCTACGTGATGTCAAGTAAGAAAATTAGATAAATTTAGATACCCAGAGTTGAAGATGTGTATGTTGAAAATTCATGAAAACATTTTCTTTTTCTTTTTATTCTATCTATATGATATGATGGATGCTAACTAAATCTATTGTGAGAATCATTTCACAATAAATGTAAATCAAATCATCATGCTGCACATCTTAAATTTATTCAGTGACATAGGTCAATTATTTCATAATAAAACTGGAAAAAAGAGATTGCCATAAGGATAAAAAATGCATTTTTAACATACACATATACATACTCCTTACAATAGATTTTGATCTTTGTTATTTCAAATATTTAAGTATCTCTTGCCAAGAAGAATTAAAGTCCCAAACTAATATTTAATATTATTCTGAATTCATAAATACCATCTCCTTTATTTATTCTAAAAATGTACTTGTTTCAAAAGGATTATAACCATAATTAGTCTACTTTTATACTGTCTACCAAAAAGCAGCCAACATTTAAAGTCACATTGACAGTAGACAGTTGGAGCTTAAATTGCTTCAGCACTAGTAACATTACATGGTTGATTAATACTTTGGTTACATATCCAGGAAAAAGCGATCATAGTGGAAACTCAACAGAAATTAAGTAATTACATTATTTAAAACAAATGCTTACATTTCATTGACCCATTCTGTCTCCCTTTTTCTTAGTTGACCAAAATATGAGAAACAATGCACTAATAATTCTTGATAATATACCTAACCTCTGCTTCCTTTGATGTCTGACAGTATCTATTCTCTGTGCTTCATTTATATAGTTTCCATTCTGTTTGATTTGTACTTTGCATTTTGCCTAACTGTTTAAGCCTAATTTCAAGTTATCATATAATAAATATTTATTTGAATACCTTCTAGTAGCAGTATGTTTAAACTGGTAGACAAATTATTTTGAATGTAGATGGCATTCAATATATACCATAATAGAGATTAATAATAATATGTGATATAAATGAAAATAGACTGTCTTTGAGTTAATCTGAAGTTTTATTTCAAAAAGTACCTTAATCTTTCCACTAAATCAATGAAAATAGTTTGAATATATAAAATAAACCAGAACCATTTTATAAAAGCAATCTATTAATGGTATTTTTGACCCAAACAAGAACTTTATTTATATATGCACAGTTTACTTATCTCTTACAAATTTAAGAGAAAATTTTTAGTCTAATGATTTTCTTCTGTCCTTTCTTTCCTATGTGTCAGTCCAGACCCCTGGATTTTGATTAATGCATTTAAAAGGGTTAAAATGACCCAATCCCCTTAAGTATAAGGAAATGTATTCAAGGAATTTTATTCCATCTACAGTGCCTGCACACTGCATATCTATCATATCAGTAAAAGACAGTAATGGATATATATCCAACTTTATCTCTCCATCTCATTTTAGTAGTAAATCTTTACACTTCCCACCAATATTGTAGTGGTAAAAATCCTTTTATGAAGAGATTCTGTGCTGTAGAGTAACCTTGCAAGGATTGCTAAGAACATCCTTGGCTGGCTGAATGCACTGCCCCCAGAAAGGGGCTTCAGAGTGGAATCAGAGATGAGGCATATGCCACAGACCCGCTGGGAGCACGGAGGAGGGGGAGTCCAAGGCCGTCCACATGGTAGATGCTGCATCTGGCCAAAATCGGAAACTGACCGTTCCTTTACGTTGCACTGGAGATGCTCAACCCTGGCCCTCCCTCTCAAGCCAGGCCCTTCCCACATTACGTTAGGTCCTACCCTGGAGGGATGGGAACAGAGTTACTTGGAAGGCTCTGTCGGAAATGCCCCAAAGAACTGAAATTCTCATTTTACATAAAGTCGGTTCTGCAAGGAATTTCAATTGTTTCTCATGATCTCTGCTTCTCTGGAAATGTCCCCTATTCTCTGCTGCATTCTCACGCCCAAATAATGGTGGATCTAAAAGCCTTTCCTTCTTGTATTTATTATCTTTTGGGTCCTTCTGTGACCCGCTTCTGCCTTCTTCTCCTGCCTTCCCTTGCTCATCAGATATCTGTTGGCCTCATACTCGGGGCTGTGTCTGACATACAGGATGAGAGTGTGATTTTACTGCTCTTTTTTTCTCCCAGCAAAATGTGAGCCAGCATGTCGTCATGGAGGTGTCTGTGTCAGACCTAACAAGTGCCTCTGTAAAAAAGGATATCTTGGTCCTCAGTGTGAACAAGTGGACAGAAACATCCGCAGAGTGACCAGGGCAGGTATTCTTGATCAGATCATTGACATGACATCTTATTTGCTGGATCTAACAAGTTACATTGTATAGCTTCTGGGACTGTTTGAACATTCCTTTCCAATGGGCATTTATTTTTTATCTTGTCATTAAAAAGAAAGACTGTTATCCTGCTACACACTCCTGTGATTTCATTTTCTTTTATTAATTTAAAAATAATTTCCAGAAATGTGCAGATCCTGTGTGTGTATGTTGGCACGTTTGTTCACATATGCACATACACACACATATTCACAATCCCTATACATGTGGTTGTAGAACAGATGAGTTTTTTAAATACAGTTTTCTTGTGCAGAGTAATTTACACATAAATTCCATTGTAAATTGATAACAGAATTTTTATGTCACCAGAAGAGATTATTTGACTTCCCAGGAATTTTCTGTCTGTAATAATGAAAGTCAACTTAATGGAGTTTTGAAACATTACTGTGCAATCTGATGGAGCTAATAAAAAAAGGCAATATTTTTATATTAAAGGACTATAATATGAGAGAATGTTTTAGAACTCCCTGATGAATTTCTAAATGGGCAACTTGATGTAAAATTGTAATCTTCATTTTTACCAATGTATCCAATTACAGAAAGTTATGCACTTAACTTTTTATTGGCGAAGAAATCTGGTTACTCTGGCTTAATCTCAAGATTGTTTTCAAGTATTTTATAATTAAATCATAGCAGCATATTCTAAAACCAATCTTCCTAAAAGGTCTGCTTTTATTATATAGTGTATTTAACAATAGGCACTGGGTTTGTGTTACATATTTATATTTTTTATTTTATTTTTATAATATAGACATCACCTAGATGAAACACCTTTACCCTGTCCTGTAAAATACTAAAGTTACATTTTTCACCAACTTAATTGGAAAGAAGGGGAGTGAGAAAGCAAACAATCTTTAATGTGCTGTGGATCTAATCTAGCAATGTATCCTTGTGCCAACATGTAATCATTTAACGACGGATGAAAAAGCAAGAAAACAGCCCATCTTTATAAAATTCCAGCATTTAAACATTTGTAAAGTGCTTTTCACCATAGCAAGACTGGCAGAGTATATGTGATTAGAATGTTGCAGATGTCACACTGAATCCAACCTCCCTGGAGAAGAGCTCACTGGTGTTTAACAAACCTTGGCAATGTAAGCTGTCACTTGTACAAACTTTTAATATAATAATTCTTACCAAATATGACTTTTAATGTTTATGTTCCTTCAAAACTCAGTGAAAAATCCTCACTGGTTAATGTATGAATAAATATCTGTAGATGTCCTGTTCAGGATTTTAAGGAAATGCCACCTTCTAACTTAAAGCTGCAAAAAAGTCTGATAGACAGTTTTTTTTATGGTTTTCAAGGCCAGCTCTCCACGTTTGGATTATAACAAAATGACAAGGCCTCTTTGCACTACTGAAAAAACCTCTACTCATGACACGTGCACACCCACTGTAGGTTGTCCTGTAAACATCTGTTCCTCCGGAATCTAAATTGTAGAGTAGTATAGATTAGGCAACGCAGGCTGACTTTCCAAACATGCTCCTTACCTTTGGGACTGTGAACCTCAATTAAAAAGAATAAAATCTTGTAACTAGCATTTCTCTATTGTTTAAAAGCGAGAGATTTGCAATTAAAACACAGTAAGCATTTATACAGAAACCGCAATGGAGAAAGGTTGGTTAAGTACACTGCTCTTGTCTTCCATATATGATTACTTAGGTTTCAAGTGACCTCACGCCAAATGGAAATGGGTTGAGAAATCTTGGTTCAGTGCTTAGTGAACAATAGCCTGCGTTAAAAAGCGCATGCATAATTTTGCACAATTTAGATTCAATTGACAGTCTATTCAAAGAAGTCTCAGGATTAAATGAGCATGGAGACCAAATTGCCCTCTTACCCCAGAAAAGGGGTGGTCCCTTCTAGTCACACTAACACTTCATTGGCCCAACAGTGTGACAAATCTTGCAATGAACCCCGCGGTAGCCTGCGTCTGTAGGTTAATAGCAGTCTTTTGTCTCCGTTGCTTTCTCTTCAGAGCCCTTTTACTGAATTCCATCACGGAAAGTTTTACAATTAAAAAAAAAAACTGTCTTGACAACCATTTTTGTAAATGGACCTTACCATCTAATCGTCCCTTATTCAACGTGGGTGACATTAGCAAAATGTGAACTTCTTGTGAGGGAGCCAGCTGTCTAAATCTGTCAAATTGTGCAGTTTTATTACACATTCTCCTGTTCATAGTTTCACTGAAAACAATAAGGATACTGATATACATTGAGCAAAATCTGAAAAAGCTAGCGTTTCTTCTTACATCCTTAATCTTTTCATCTCTTCCAAAAGAATCTTTCCATAAGAAAAGATGTTATATTGCCATAGTTCTCAAATTTAAAAATATTTATATTAAATTGACCAGATCTAGATTTTTTTATGTAGTGCTTTCCCAGGTGGAAGAACTTCAAATGACTTAGAAAAACATATGTGCACCCCAGGTGTCATTGCTTCCTCCATCGTGAGTCATTAGAACAAAAGATCAAAATTTTCTAAAAGGAAGATAGCAAGATCCATGGATATTAAACCCAAGCAAAGAAAGTCAAGTTATTGGAGTCATTTCTTTCTGTTCTTAGAAGAGAAGTAAATAGCAATGGCTAGTTGATGGCTACATATTTTAAACTCCGTAGTCATTTGAAAAAAATATTTCGTCGTTTTCTTTCAAATAGAGTGTTTACATATGTGATGGTAAAATTATCTTTAAAAAAGTCATGATGAAAAGCAGGTAGGAATTGTTTGAAAAATATGAGCTAGGGAAACGTTATTGTTTCATCACACAAATGGCAACATCTTGGTTTATAAGAAACACAATCAAAATGGAAGAAAAATGTCCTTGGTATGAATGTAGATGTGTAAGATAAAGATAAAATAAAGAAATAGAAAAATGTATATTATTATTCCTTTGTCCATTCTAGAGCTTAAGCTTTGGGTGTCAATTTAATGTAAAATGCTATTATGGTAGGTAGTTATCAAGAATTGGGGGAAAAAAAACTTTCTACTGCTGCTTCTGCCAAACTCTTATTCTGGTTAGTAGAACCTTGTTATTTTTTGCCAGTTATTTCAGGTACTGAGAAGAAAACTGAATTGGCACATCATTAAAATGAAAAGAAGGGAAGATTTAAGAAACTTGAGTGATGACAAAAAGTGTTTCCATCCATACCTTTCCTTCTTGGAATTTTGTTTTACTGTGCTATTGTAAAATGTATTTTTTATTTTATCACAAAAAGTACTCAGAAATTTTCTCAGATTAATGGACTGTCTCCTAAAGAAAGAGCAAAGAAACCTCCCCATACAGCCTAGACACACAACCTGAGGAGAAAACCATTCTCTTTCTCATTTACACACTTTAGAGGAGGCACTTCTCTATGTATTTCTTTGAAAATAATTGCATAATAATATACTAACAATTTTTAATGTATTTCTTTTTTATTCTGTTTATAGCTCTAAATCATAAATTATACCTACTAGGTATAAGACATGAGGTTAGATACTACATCTAGGGTTTTTCAAAGTATACATTAATTGAAACTTTTATTAGTCTAACATTCTTAGCTTTGAAACCAAGCCCAAATTTTTAAGAGGAAAAAATAAGGTATGCCATAGGCAGTTGTAGTTAACTGATCAATAAATTATAGTTTTTGAGCATCTCTTTAGAATGTTACTTACAATGTCTATTTCTCTTTCTCTCTTATCTATCTCTATATCTATCACTCTTCTCTCACCTGCCCACCCACACCAATATATCCATTGTCCTTTTAACCTCTCCCTCCTGCCCTATTTCTATTGGTTTTTGATTACACAGACTTGTCCTCAGTACACCAATAATGAAGATGCCTTGGGTTAGATTGCTACTAAGTTTGCTGGTTACTGTCTTTTCTTTATTTTCCTGAAGAATGCCTTCCTCTGGTGTCACATTTGCTCATACTCTTTTGTCATAAAGAACAGTAGACAACTATAAACATACTAGGCTAATCTATTAGTGATCGAAGAAATAACCAATAGCAGAAATGACACCCAGCCCAGATGTTCCAGTTCAGCTGATGTTCCATCATAGATTCAGTGAACACATATCCCCAGTCAACAGCTTGAGCTAATAGGAGGAAAAGTTAGGAACTATTTCCTATTTAAGCAACAACCGTCTCTATGGAGTCTGTTTTAAACAAGATTATTCCAAATATATCAGAAAAAAAAAATAGTTCCTCACTGGAGACTTCAGAGTCTTATTTCTCCTCCCCTGAGATAAGATGAACTTGGAGAGAACTCAGACCAAAATTCCATGCACAGAAAATGTATATATGTCTAAGTTATTCCCCACCCCCAGAAGTTAGTGGGCCCATTATTGTGAATGCTAACAATACTTTCAGAAAGTTTCTTTTTAGAATATCTTAAAGAAACACATGTTTGCTATTATACCTTCTTCATCATACTAGTCAGTCATACCTCTAATTATTAATATGATATCAAAGAAGGTGGGAAAGCTAAGAATAGAGGCATTTCAATATTAAAAATAGTAAAAACATGACCATAGACCCACCCACACACCAGTGCTAGCCAACTTCAACACTTCTTTCTCTTAAATATCTCCTCAATTTTGGAAATTGGCTCAAAGTAATTGTATCAGAGAGTAAGGTGAATTCACAAAAGCATGAAGGCATATTACTCTAGTGCCCTTTGTTTCTCAAGAACAGTGGTAGTTTCCCTAGCTGCTGTGAAGAGATTGATTCATTTATCAGATTAACACTTCTCTTAAATTATTTACTCAAATATGAACCCAAGATACACCCATCATGTAAATTGCTTTCTTTTACATAGGTCATGTATAAGTTGGTTGAAAAAAATGCAAGAATAAATAATGTATCCCTTGTATCAATATAAAGCCTTAGGTCAAAACACTATTATTGCTCTTTTAGTCAGACTTCAGTGATTTACAAAAAGAAAGGTATTGACTCAACATGAATCCTAAATTTACATCTCATGTATATCACAAAATCAGATATCATGTTTCAGTCAGGATATTTTTGCTTATACAGATATTACTTAAAATCAAAATAGCATGTTTGTGTATACATATATACACATATACATATATAAAAGCAAATTAACATAAGTGGTGAGTTATCTCAATTGACTATAATCTTCTGTATTAAAAATAACTTTGCACATAGGATAGAAAGAACAGAACATTAACTGTGGTGTGGAATCCATATGGCTAACTATAAAATAATTTTTATAATTTAGAAACTAATTTTTGTGCATTTCCTTTTCACTGGAAAATAACTAGTCAGTAGTTCCCATGCACATGAGCAATGTGTGATCAGGCTTGGTATGGTCTATGCCCAAAACGTATGTTGACTATTTCTTTACCTTATATTCTTAAAATTTGAGACATGACTTCCTTCAATAAATTAGATTTCATGTATAGTAAAGCCTAATACTATTAATACTACTAATACATTAATAGTCTATTCACAATACTATTATTGAGAAGTTGAATTGACATTATGAATTACCAGATATTTCTTATATCTCATTATATCCATAGAACTTTTTGGACATGCATTTCACCAATAACCATATAGTAACAAGATACATGACACTAAGTTACTATGGACTTTTTGGATCTTGATTCCCTATGACATACGAAAGGAGACTATTTA